CTTATGAGTAATCTTATTTAAAAAGAATAAAAGAATTTTGTCAGCTGTTTCAACTACACAAGTGTGTTCTACGATATTCAATAGCATTAAAAAGTTACCAAAGGTTTACCAAAAGGGTGCAGTACTATTATTTTTTTTACATTTATGACAACAGCTATCCTATTAAAGGCCATAAAGGCATAATTTTGTTTTTAAAAGGCTTATGTGTAACTATTTTATCAACAGATGTAAAGATCAAAATATTTCTATTTCGTGTTCTCTTCCCGTTACAAAGCACGGGTACAACAGCTAGTCAATAATATAGGCAAGCATGTTTCTTTACAACCTTTTTATCAGATCGTGAACATCACAGAGAAAATATCCGCATATCGGTGGAAATGTATTTTCCACAGAATGTCTTTATAAATTAAAATAGGCTAAAAAGACATAAAAAAAAGAATTACAAATTTTTTAAAACTAACATGGGTTTAAGGGGTTGCTATGCTGGTGACGAAATAACAACTAATTATGAAAATAAAATCAAAACAAATGGAAAATATTCCAATCACATGTATTATTTACAGTGTATGTTAAATAGAGTAGTCTGTACATTGTATAGTTTTTGTTGAGTTTTCAACCGCTGGACCTCAACTTCATTGTACACTTCATTGTGCATTGTTCACTGGGAAATCCATTGTAAACTATAAGAAATGCACACTAATCAATGCAAATACATTAAGGTTATGTGAAAAAATATTTAAAGGAATCAGCAAAAATAGTAATACATAATTGCTAGGCAGCGGTCTATTGCAATTCATTAAGGATATACTGCTTGTATATTTAATGGTATATAAATGTTTTAATTAAATAAGCGATTTTCGGTACTAGGGCTGGAAAATTTTAATTACAACTATAGCTGCCATTTCGACCCTGGACAGCAATGCGTAGCTTTTCAGCCTCCAATTAACGTCTGTAAAACTACTAAAACATTGTAGTGCGGTGAAAAATATTTGCAAATCATACTCAATTGACTCGGAACACTGCAGTCCTGATTTAATTAAGGGTATTATTAAAAAGTACTCGTGCAGTAATCAACTAAACAGGGTAACGAATTGAAGGATAGATACAACTAGACCATAAGGACGCAAAATACGCGTAGGTACAACTAGTCGTAGGTACAACTAGACGTAGGGACCACTAGACGGAGGGACCACTAGTTGTAGGGACTACTAGTCGTAGGGACAACTGGTCGCATCCGTACAAGCTAGGTGATACTTCTTGTCGGTGGGATACACGTCTAGTTGTACCTACGTCTACTTGTACCTACGTCTAGTTGTACCTCCTAAAAATCTGCAGGTACAACTAGTCGGGTATGCCACCGTCTACTTGTACCTACGACTAGTTGTCCCTAGGGTTCGAGGTACAAGTAGATGTAGGTACAACTAGACGGAGGGACAACGAGACGCGGTCCCGTATTTTTAAGTGATTTGCAGTACTGCAAAATGCTTACAGTAGAAAAACACATTTTGAATATAAAATTAAGCTAGGAAAAAACAGATTGTACCAACTTTATTCCAAATTGTAAAATTTCACAATGATAATCCTATTTTATAACCTTTAAATAAAAAAACCTTTAAATTAAGAAATCCAAACAAGTTATAGTCGAAATGATATAGAATGAGTATTTATTTGTCATTTGACTATTAAATAAAGTATTTTAAGGTGAAAATATCTTCAAAAATAATAGTAAGGTACGTGTGACACTTACATATTTTCATACAAAAGGAAAAGTTTGAATTCAAGAAACCAAAAAAATTAATAATTTAAAACTGGATGTAGCCAAAAACATTAGGAAAGACCAACATCAAGATCTCGTTTTTAAATTAATCAATAGTTGTTAATATATTAATATTAAAAAAACATTTATTCATAACTGGCTTGACCTCGCCAAGTTTTCAAAACTTATCGGTGAGGTCCAATTGATTCAAACTTAACAATCTAATATTAATGGTTAATTAACCTTTGAACCCAAACATAACATGTAGAATCATTACTCAAATTGACTTTTTTTTCATAGTTGTAGTAAGTATTTATTTTATTACTAACCAAAAACACTGATTTAGATAGTGTGATTTGTTCAATGGAATCATTGTTTAAGTAGTTCAAAGAAAATTTGATTAACTATAAGGGTTTGATTATCTCATCCAACACTGTGTTTGAAATTCTTAACATGTATCATTGGTTAAATTTATCTCAATTCTTTTAAGTTGTTTAGCATAATCATATGAAGAACCATTAATACAAAAGTCTATGTACAGTGGAACCTCCATAACAAGACCCTCGATAACAAGTCACCCTTGATAACAAGTGTCATTTTTAAATACCCTAGAATTGATTTTACCCCTAATCACATGTTATTGCAAACCTCGATAAGAAGACGACCTCGATAACAAGTCTTATTTAATCCCCATGAGAGTCTTGTTATCAAGGTTCTACTGTAGTTTATTAGTTTCATAAGCTAAAGATGAGTTATTTCAGACAAAAAATAAACTAAGAGCGAGGTTTTAAAACCTAACAACACTAATAAATTATGTTTTAATGTTTTCTTGGGACGGCATTAAACAATTTCAAGCTATAAATAAAAAGAAACTTCACAGGTAACATTTTTTGAACTGAAATATATAATTTATAAATACAATTTAAAAAATCTGAGATAGTAATTATATTTCTACAGCTTTAAAGACTAGTATATAATCATAACCTGAATATTTACTCCATATATGTTAGAACCACATTTGAATAGTTCTCTTCTTCCACAAAATAAATAAATATGCATTTTACCGATACAGCATCCTTATGGTTGTAATAATATTAACCTAAGGCGAGGAGTTGATTTAATGGAAACAATTTGTAGGAGTACAGACAGTACGAGAACAGGATCACCAATTAATTTACTTCCACTTGCCAAAACATGATCGTTTAATTTCAGGTACCAACTAAAAACTATATTTTACAGTTATTAGATGTTTCCCATAATCAAATTAGTTCCTATTGTATAACATAAATATATTTGACCACAGATTTTAAATAAATGTCTGTCAAAAAATCAAAATAAATTTAAAAAAATAAATAATTTTTTTTATTTATCTGATTTTTTAAAATACTAGGTGAAACCGGTCGAAATCGACGGTTACTTTCAAGGCTTACACTAATTCATCTAACTGCCATAAATTGAGTGCAATTATACACATTTTGAGCATTTAGCATTGTTTAAAGATTAATAACTGTAAAAGCAATAATGATATTAATTAATTAATTGCGTTAGTTATGAGGGCCTCCTCATTTATATGGTCGTGCGGCTTCATTGGCAACAAATAATGCAAATGACATAGCAATGAGACATTTCCAAAAAGCAAAAATAATGTAAATTGGCTGTCACGTAAATATTGACGTTTACATGCATTGTTAATCAACGTATTTATAAAGGATGATGTGATCTAGTTTTAAAGGAATATGACCTTTCTGTCATAACAGTAGCTGCTTAAATAGTACCTATTTACTCATTGGGCCATTTTTTACAGCCAAAATGTCGTGTTATTTTCAATAATGTTACCAACCCAGTGGGCCACGGTCCGTAATATAGGCCACTGAAAATAGTTTGTCAAGATAGGTACCATTTTAGGCAAGGTTTCTGTGTTTGGATGTTATTAGACACGGTAGGAGCACAATAAAATTATTCTGCAGATGAATTTTCTGTTTGAGAAATATAAGCCGAATTATAAATGTCACAATGCGAGTTTGAGCATTTTGTAACTATGTGGGTAAGTTAAATAGATTTTTTTAGACTGCTGCTTAGTGCACTTTAAGAATATATATTTTAGAGATGAATTAAATGGTTTTTGTTGCTGAGTAGCGCTAGTAAACATGCACAACCCTTTTCGTTAGTCTAATAACATTCAAAGGCTCTCTAAGAGTTCAAGTTCTTATTTGTATACATATCTATATTATGTTTTTACTAAGCTGAATGAATACATCGAAGTAACCTCTCTGAAAAGTGTGCAGTATATTGCAATATTCCAGCTTAATGACTTTCTAAATCCTACACATATTTCTACATAAATATTGTAAAATGTTTTATCCAGTTGCCGTAAACCACTATTAATTTTTAAAAATATGGACACGGCTCAAATGGGCACCGTTCCCTTCTGCACTTGTATTATTTTGTATTGTATTACACAATCGAAGATTTGAAAACATGTATGATAATAATCTCTTGAACCTATGATGATCTGTCTAGAGGTATATGATAAAATATAGTGAAAGGTGTGGAAAAGGCAGACACCAACCCGTAAAAAATATATAAGATAGTTCAATAAGAAAGTTACTGTGATAAAAGGATTTTCCACTGATTTCGTAATGGAATGTTATATTGCAAAACATGACATAATACAGAAGAAAATCAATTTTAAAATCAGAAAATAACATTGCAAATATTTCTTTTGGACAATTCAGTAACTCCCAATTTAAATGTGTGTTGTTTAAAACACAATTTTAAAATTAACAGCTGTTTCATTAAAAAGTATTATCCACATGGCCAAAATGTAAACAAATCCGTAGAGGGATCTTTAAAGGCTTCTGGGGCAGAGCCCTAAGAGAATTTACTTCGTTTTTCTTATGATAACTCATCTATAAGACCTTTCTTTGGACACCTCTATCAAGTTTCTACGTCCAGCGGTTCTCTCAAATTAGTGGAGACAAAGTTTGCAATTAAATATTTAGATTCTCCCATGTTATTCTTATGGGAGAAAAACCAACTTTGATGGAAGGTCCTGCCCAAACTAATAAAGATATAAAAAAACTAAAAACACTTTGCAAAATTAGAGATCAGGGCAATTGTTTTGACATTTTAATAATCAGAAAAATTTCAATAATTATTGTTCATGAACCTAAGAGATGTGGTTAGTAACATTTTTCTCATTGACTTATATATATACTATATATATATATAAATATAAAGTAGGTCACCGAATAACTAACAACCTCTTTGGAAAGGTTGGCCATTCTTGTCTAAGTCGTTCAATGGCCTCCTCGTAGGTTGGTAGTCCTGCCACCACTGTGTAGCTGGGGAGAGATTCAGAGTTGTATCCTGATTCGACTTGAGCTTGAGTTTCTGATCTACGGACCTCCAGCACTAAAACAACAATTACAATGGTTTAATGAAATAAACGGTATCAGCATTCTGACACATACTTTCTCCCATAAGTTTTTCAACAACCTTTATTATGTGTAAGCGGTGAGAGTAAATATACGGAAATGGGATTTGTACAATTTTGTTCAGAATTTAAATGACTATAACATACAAAATTTTTATCAAAATTGTTTGGGCCATTTTTGGAAAAACCCGATTTTTCTGTTATTTTATGGGGGTTTTATGGGAAAATGACATAATTTACAATAACTTTTGAACCGTAATTTTTACAGAAATGGGATTTGTACCATTTTGTTCAGAATATAAAGGACTATAACATACAACATTTTTATCAAAATCGTTCGAGCCATTTTTGGGAAAATCCTATTTTTCAGTTATTTTATGGGGTTTTGTGGGAAATTTCCCATAAAAAATACAAATTTTCTAAAAAATTAATAAAACTATCAAAATTGTAACGACCATAACCTACTATGTTAAAATCAAAACAGGATTTTTTCTAAAATTCAATTTTTTGTTATTTTATGGGGTTTTATGGGAAAATAACATATTTGAACATAACTTTTGAACCGTAATTTTTACAGAAATGGCTTTTGTACCATTTTATTCAGTATTTAAAGGGCTACAACATACTAATTTTTTATCAAAATCGTTCGCGCAATTTTTGAGAAAATCCAATTTTTCCGGTTTTTTATGGGGTTTTATGGGAAAATCCCCATTAAAAATCAAAATTTTAAAAAAATGAAATAAACGCCTGGAGATACCATGGATTAGAACTTACATACCAAATTTCATCGAAATCGGACCACAGGTAAAGTCTCTAACACTGTACACATCCAGACACACACACACACAGACACACACCCACGCGCACACCCACACACCTACACACAGACACACACACACACAGACACACAGAGACATCACTTCGAAAACCACTTTTTTGGGTCTAGGGGGACCCAAAACGAATATATCCACTCAAAACTCAAACTCGAAAATTTTGACGAAAACAATACTTTCTCCATATACTGGTATAGGGGGAGAAAGTAAAAAGGACCCTTACAACAATATACTACTACAACAATTTACTTTCATACTTAATAACAAGAGTCTAAAGCACTCAAGGGTTCATCACAGATTGGAATTGCACGTACGCTACGGAATTACTATCACTACGGTCAAGTTTATTTTTATTATTAAGGAAATAAGCTGTTCAATAAAAGAAAATAAAAGGCTCGTACCTTAAATTTTCTACTCGTGTCGTTAACACTATTTACGCGAGTTGCGTACACTACTTTACCTACGACGGTGTTTTAATTACTAAAAATCACTACAGTACTCATAACTTCTAAGAGAGGTTATGTTTTTGTTTGCTCTAATTGCCACTGACAGTGATGCAACGAAACATTCTATCAAATACGAATTGCACCAATCAACAATTAAAATGGCCTGAATAGCTGATTAGTTGAATTTCGAATCATTACAATTTTGCTTCTCCTCTCCCAATCCTTGAACCTCATTGGTCCGTTACCCGTGTTGTCATGAGTAAAACTATGCTGTTATGAAAGTAAACAATGCTGTTGTGAGATACTTTTCAATTCTAAGAACTGTACTGAAACGGCTACTTTAAAAAACGGCCGTAGGTAAAATCTTTATCAACATCTTATACAAGAGTTATCTAACCTATTTCAACAATTCACTTTCAAGCTTTAAAAACTTTGGGACAGGTATAAGAGAAACTCTACTGAACAACGTGAGAATGTGTTGATGCTGGGTATATACTCTGACTAACAGAGAAAACATAGAGAGGCTAAAGTGAGAAAGTGACCAACCTCCAATGGTGTTGCAACAATATTTAAATCAGTAAATATGATGGCTGTACAGTTGGTAATCCAGAGTTTGTGGTGGTATACATACAAAAATGAAGCACCTGAAATAGTTTTTATATCTCCCGACTTTTCAGGACTATGGAGAAAATCCGTTGGTTTAGAGGGATGCCTCAAATCGAAGAAGGAGCTACTGATCAAAGAAATAAAGTAATCCAACGTTAATTTACTTCAAACTAATGATCAGTAAGCTAATAAGACCAAGAGTGGGGATGTACGCAAATCTTCACGAAGCATTTAGAAATATTTCAAATTAATGCCTTTTAAATTTTCAAACAACTTTAAGAATCTTAATACAATTACTCGAATCCGAGCACCAAGTTTTGAGTTTCTTACTGTTTTCTCTTCTAGCTATTGAATAGTCAGTTGAACAACTAGACAAAATCTTAAACTTGAGCTTGTTATATTTGATTTCGTGACGCAAAAGAGTCACTTTACATCCTAATTATGAACTATTCTACTATTGTTTAATAGTTTTTTGTATTATCATTATATGTCATATACCATATCTCTGGCTGACTCACCTCTTGGTTGCCGCTCGCTGGACTCGTGGATACTGACGCAGATACAGAAACACACCGAACAAGTACAAGACACAATGATCATGCTTATGGTCCAAACCACCAGGTCTGCCAGGAGTCGGTCGTACTCATCGTTGCTTGTCGTCTCTACAACACTCGACTCTTCGTTGACTGATGTAATGTTGAGGAACTCACTCATCACTGGTTCACTGACACTTTGTGTTAGGTCACTCTCGACTTATTCTTTGCTTTGTGTTCTCGACACGTTGGTAGTCCGTATGACAAGCTGGCACTCGCAGTTAACAATGACAATCGTCACTTCACCCCACTGTCCTGTAAAACAGCTGGTTAGTTTGTGTTCGTGTAAGTTACCCTGTCAAAGCAGACCTGCAGAATAACCGAATTTCCATTCTCATTCGATTTTTACTTAAATATTTCCTTGTGTCCTATTAATCCTTGATCAGATAACATTATATGACGAGTACTTAGGTGTTTATGTTACTAAAGCTGTTTATTTTTGCAAGTGTTTTAATAATTATTTTTTTCGGTTTTGAAGTATACGTCTGGGACGGCCTTAGTAAGCAATAACATGACATTTCAAAACAAGTGACACTATCTGTGGTCTATTTAGCATTGAAAAACATTTCCCTTTGGGCTAAAATGTGGTTAGGCCTACAATAAATTTAAGAAATCATTAAATCAATATTTTAAACTATTGAATCAGTAAATCTTCAGTAGGTAGCTGATAATCTAAAAAAATAATAAACATCATCACAATATTTCTCTTGAAATAATATTATTGTTATTTTTCATATTTCTATTAGGTGAAACCCATCGAAGTCGACGATAACTGTTAAGGTGCCATTGGTGTTAAGCAAAATCATTTATCTATCAATCGATGATAAATAATTCCATCTTTGGAAAGTTTGGGTTGTTCGTGTTCAGCAGCTAGCTTTAGATACGTCCGATCTCTATTATCAATAACTTATAACTCAAATGAAAACCTGGTATTTCACTGAAGGTTCTTAGATCAAAACATATAGGATAGCGTAATTAGAATTGAGTAAATGTATCTTAATTAAATTAAATTCCATACATTGCAGTACAGCACAACACAATTTTTGTGAACCGTTGCTAGTTTTTCAAACTGATAATACAACATTATGAGTGTAAACTGAAAAGTGTCTTACTATCTATCTTATGTTTTTATATTTAACACAAAAAGTGTTGTAATTTGAGTTATGTTTCATATTGTACCTCTCTAGATTAATTTTAATTCAGTTAATTAGTGTTTCATTTAATTATTCAGGTTGGCCTAGGCCAACAGTCAAACATTGAAGTAAGATAGGCCAAGTAACTCATCCTTAGACTAGTTACCATCTGAGAGAAACAGGAAGGGAAATCCCGCAGAAACATTACGAGCCAGGTAGTGACATCGTTCAAGTAAGCTACCAACATCGATGTTTACAGTCCAACTAGACCACGATAGGCTAATACCATAGATGAAGTATACTCGAAAACCGCTGCCGCACCGCTCCCCACATCACCGGTGGGCATTAGAGCGACCCACAGCCAAAAGTAGTATTGAAAACCGACAAATCACACTTTTAAAGTCATAGTTGTTGGTAAAACATTTTGAATATATCTATTCATTCTTATTAAGTAAATCAAAATACCAAAGTACCCTAACAACATTTTATTTTATATTACTTACATGTTTCGGACATTCATTCTTATTTATATGTACTTGTTTTCCCTTTAGTACATCATAAAACAAATTTTCAAGGCCGACAGACTTTTTAAAATTACATGTAGACTAGATATTTTAGTTATGGGCATAAGAATACTTACACAGAGTATTGCCGTGATATCCAAAGAAAACACGACTAAGATTCGAGGCTAGAATGGCACACGACAAACTAACACTGAAACTGAAACTGATTGTCTGACGGACTGATTGATACTGCTACTGTCTACTGATCAGCTGGTCTGTGGCGGCAAATGACGTCACTCTGACGACAGGCGAGACTGAGGATAACCAAATCAGAGTTGTGTACTTACTTGCTCATTATAACGTCATGGTTAACGTCTGGGAGAAATGAATGGAAAGTGAACATGGTCATCACAAAACACACGGTGTATAGCCCTGACGAACTTATTACAATAGCATAGTTTTTCATATAATTTAAAAAAACCTAGGACCCGTCATAAGAAAGAAACCTATGGCTCCTAAAAGCCTATTATCAGGTTTCATGTTCATGCAGAACATGATGTAAAGATTATTGTGGCTGCAGAAAATCTAGCTAAACATGTTCTTCCATTTGTTAACATTGCAATGGGCTATCATGTTCAAATCCTTTGCAATATCATGACGACTTTGATGAGTGGTAGTAAAGATATGTTATATGATAAGTAATAATTATGCTTAAAACTCTTTCGATAAAATACGATTCTGTGATTAAAAACCAACGTTGTTTAATTATTGAACTGTTTTGTAATTGATAACATGCAACAGCAAATCACAATATTAATTACCAGTCTGTACATGTTCTAAATGAATTACAGAACGTTAAATGTGTTCTATATAAAGAGAACCATAATATGTAAATTGTTTTCATTGTTGCAGCGCATAAAAAAGCCAGAGTCCTGTGAAATCAATTTACTGTACTATCTATATTATGCACTATACACGAACAAACTGTTACTAACTATATATGATCTTAAAGATTAAATTATGTACTAAAACATTTACATGTAACATTTTGTCGTGCGACTTCATATAAAAAATCTACAAGGAAAAGATACATAGAATTAACCCGTAAAAATTAATATTTCATGTTTATGTCATTTTTGTGACGAAACTATCAACATTTAGGCTTACATGGTAAATACAATTTTTGTAGATGATTTCATCGCAAAAAGGATTGACAAAAGATTACATTGTTATCTTTACCCGTTTTGAAGTTATACCCAATGTTCCAAGAGACCGTAAATTTATCTAAAAGGGAGGGGGGGTGAGAGGAAAGCACAAGGGGGAGGAGTGGGGACTTTTGGGAAAATACTCCTCTCAACATGGTCTAACAGCATAGAAAAATCCAGCTTTACCAAAATTAGCTCCGACATAAAACCTATATTGACTGGACTATTTTGGTTGGTAAAATAAAACAAGCTTTTGTATAGTTTTAGAATGAGGTTGTATTTTTAAGTGATTTGCAGTACTGTAAAATGCTTACAGTAGAAAAACACATTTGGAATTTAAATTAAGCTAGGAACGGACAGATCGTACCAATTTTAGTCCAAATTGTAAAATTTCACGATGATAATCCAATTTCATACACGTAAAACCTTTAAATTAAGAAATCCAAACAAGTTATACTAGAAATGATATAGAATGAGTATTTGTCATTTGACTATCAAATAACGTATTTCAGGGTGAAAATATCGTCGAAAATAGTAGTAAGGCCATAGGTAGGTGTGAAACTTACATATTTTCATACAAAAGGAAAAGTTTGAATTCAAGAAACCAAAACTAAATTAATTATTTTAAAACTGGATGTGCCCGAAAACATTATAAAAGACCAACATCAAGATCTCTTTTAGCGAATTTCCCTATAGGGAAGGAGCTATTACCGTAGGTGGCACGGTAAGACCTAGACCCAGGACCGATTTACTTTTTCATTTTGATGTCCTTTAGAGGCCAAAAACACCATTCGTTCAAATTTTTATATATGTATATTTATATATATATTTGTATATGAATCTGCTGATTAATTATGTCACTTCTTTTTATAAAATATAATATTCAGGGTGCTCAGTTGTACTTATTTACTTAAATATTTAATATATATATATATATATATATATATATATATATATATATATATATACGTCCGTGAACGCGATAACTTGAGTAATTTTTGTCCGATTTTGATTAAATTTGGTTTAAAGGTGTAAAGCGGGATAAACTTGAATGAGTTCGCGAACCAGCACGATCGGACCATGGGAACGGGGCTTTACGGGGGGTTTTATGGGGTAAAAATTGGTTTTTCTCACTTTTGACCCTCAAAACACAAAATTTCCCGATTTCTCTTTAGACATTTTTAAAGAGCTTAAAAAAACAATTTTTTTAGTATATAAAAGTATTTTTGTTCGATTATTAGTAACGGAGAAAATTAAAAAAATTGTAAATTTAAAATTCCCATGTTATTCTTATGGAGAATATAGTCAAATGTTGTAGTTTGCTTGTTTATGGATATATTTTGATCAAACTTGGCAAATTTATTTATTTTGTACTAAGCTATCAATATTTTACTCAAAAACACACTTTATTAGTTTCCTTGTAGCAGCAAACCTAGGTACTCGTTAAACCTAATGTTATTAAAATATATTTAACTGAAAATCAATTCAGAGAAATGGAAATTCGCTTAGTCGGCAGGTTTGCTGCGGCGGGGGTATTTTAATTAATCAGCAGATTCATATACAAATATATTTATTCATAATATTACATTGGCTTGGCCTTGCCAAGTTTACAAAACCAGTGAGGTACAATTGATTCAAACTTAACAATCTAATTTTAATGGTTAAGTAACCTTTGAACCCAAACATAACATTTAAAATCATTACTCAAATTGACATATTTGTCATAGTTGTAGTAAGTATTTATTTTTTTACTAATCAAAAACACTGATTGTGGCAGTAGTGTGTAATAGATAATGTGATTTGTTGAGCGGAGCGAGCAAAGCGAGCGAAGCTCTTATACATCGACTTTTATGCATTTCGTAATACGCAAACTCCTCCTAGACGGCTGAATCAATCGTTTTCAAATTTTGGATGGTGGTAAAGACCATATCGGTGAGTGCCAACATCTATATGGCGTTAAAAATAACTCTCAGGAATCCGCCCCACTGGGTCTCAAAGATTCAATGTAATCCTTATGGAAGCAGTATTTGACACATAAACAAAAACATATGATCAGCTGTTGACTTTTGAATGCAGTAGATAAAGAAATAGCTGATAGCATTACTCCACAGATATTAGAACAGAAACGGTATGAATCATAAATACATATCTAATCAAATGACGACACTAGCTTGAGGTCCGTGACGTAGGAAATGCTAAAGGAAGTACTAAAGGTGAGCAGTCTGGAAAACTGTTTATGACGATTAGATTTAGGTGTCTGCATTCCTAAAACTCTATGGGAAGGGAGGAAAACGGGTCCGCGACGTAGGAAGTGGTGAAAGAAGTACTAAAGGTGAGCAGTCTGGAGTGTGG